CAAGTCGAACGAGAGGACTTGCAACGCAACAACGCGGAGTTGGTCGATGAACTTCTTGTCTCCAAACAGCGACTGAGCGCTCGGGACGACGAGATTGCTGACCTGACGGGAAAGCTCACCATGGTTTGCGATCGTGCAGAGAGACTGGCCAGATCTGTCGAGACGACGGAAGCTGGAAAGTGCGCCCTTGCGATGGAACGCGACTCACTCAAACTTCAACTGGCCAAGCTTCAAGAAAAGCATGTCCGCGCTGAGGTCGCCGAACAAAAGGCTTTAGAGCTCGAGGACGATTTGCAAGGGCTCTGGGACGCTAAAAACTCACTAGAAAAGGAGCGAGATCAGGTATGTCTTTTTTTGTGGCCAGCTGGATAGACGGTTTATCGTACTCTTCTTAGCTTAAAGTGCAGCTCGAAGACAATCTCCGGCACCAAGATCTCGAAGCTACAGAAATCTCTCAACGCGACCTCAAGCGCGCAGCTGAGATCAAGGAGCTTCGGGAACAGATGGGCAGGATGACCTACGAGCACTCCGCCGCACTCGAGGCTGCGCTCCAGGATGGGACGAGGAAGCAATTGCAGCTCGACACCCAGACAACAATATTGTTCGAATCCAAGGCTGAAATCGAGCGACTCAAGGCTCAGACGCGCGAATTACAGCAGGAGAGTGCAGACAGGGAGGTACACATTGCTACCATCGCCACCCAGCGTGCGAAAGACAAGGAGGACCTGGAAGGGCTAAATATCGCGCTAGATTCTAAGCAGCAAGAACTCGAGCTGGTGGGTTCTTCAGTCACGATCTTCATGTTACGCTTAATAGTGCTCTCACACTAGCTCAAGCGACGTCTGGGAGTCCGGGGCACTGCAGGGAATACTCCGTCGCAGTCCAAGAAACCCACACTCCAACGCCGCGAATCTTCGGTCTCGGTTGCGCCCAAGATGCGGCCGTCCTCAATTACATCCGAATTCGGTGTTGACCTCAGCAGGGAGCGCAAAGCTTCGGCAGAGAGCTCCAAAATACCTGCTTTAGGCAAGAGCACGCGCCTCAATACATCCACTAGTGTCGCGCCGACGCCTACGAAGCGTGGGTCAATGGGACCGCCGCCACTCAGAACGCGATCATCCGTCGTGGGCACGCCGTCGATAGCCTCACGAACACTCAACCGGTCTTCCTCGGCGACTGTAGTGTCCCCCAAGGCCAAGGGCGTCAAATCAGGGACAACCGCTGATCCACAATCCCCCTCTACACAACAGAACAAAGAAAATACAGATGTAACCTCGAAGAGGCTATCTGATGTACCACCTGCCTCAAGAAGGCTGTCTACTAGCAGGATTCCGATCCCGACGTTCGCTCAGTAATATTTAATCTGTACACTGATATTTAACACACTCCTTACCATGATGATACTGTAATGACATATATGCCACGAAATTTGTACTGATATCGGCCGTCACTTTGCGAGAGAATGGCTTCCAAATTCCAATTCAAACAGCGAAATTAATTATGGCTCGAAAAGGCAATTTGCGGCTGTGTATGATATGTACCCGTCGCCGCTTGGATCCTTGTAGTTCCGACCTTTGGCCGTTCGGATGCCTTTTTTAGATCGATCTATACGTGCTTAGCCAATGTATATTCGACTGACACATCCAGAGAGCATATTTGAAGCCATAAACATGCAAAAAGTTATTGTAAATACTTATATTTTGCCATGCTTTTTCAAGATTTTGGTATCAGTTGTCATCTTTCTTGTGTAAATGTGTGTTGATGCAATGGAGATAGGTATACTACTTTGCTTTAATGGGTACGCTGAATGGTAACTGTAACGGCTGGGAGATACTCTCGAGCCAGCCAGACCAATTTCGCTCCTTATAGCGGCGGCGTGCAACCGCATTAAGCTGGGAAGGGGTAGGATGGTGGGCGCAGAGGAGCAGCCAGTACCCTGACATGTCGCGGGTTTGTATGATGCAGAGGGTATTCTCCCCTACTACCAAGAATGGAGACACATCGACCAATCCATTTGGCGGCAACTATCAACCTCGTGAATATGCATGTCAAATAGAGGAGGAAGAGCGACGCACGGCAAATGGCGGAGACATGGGAAATGTTATGCGTTGGCCGTTCCATAAAGCGTCCATATTTAATCCACCTTGAGGAGGTGAAGAAGTATAGTTACTTTATATAGACAATATACCATCGTACCATTCTTGGGCCAGGAGCATTCGAATTCGGGAAGCAAGTTCCGGAGATCGTTGCTTGGCGACGACTCTAGCCGCTTTTTCAAGTCAGGTATCGCAAAACACAAAAGGCTTAAACATAGACTGTTTCTTAGGTCACTTTGATGATTTCTTCTTTCAGCGTTAAATGTAGTAATCAGTCAAAGAACAAACTCGGAGTGTTTGAAACGGTCGTTCCACTTTGTTATGGCGTCCATCTGGTTTTGCTTGATTGTAAATTTTATCGTGATCGAACCGCTGGCTAACCCGCGATGTTGAACTATGACGGCGGCTCCATCGAGACCGGTTCCTAACGTAGGTCGGTCAGGAGAATGCTTTGGATATCGTTCGGTCGTACGAACTCGACGATGGAGGGACATCCTCAAAGGAAACCTCTTGGAAGTTTGGAAGAGGAAGGTCTGCTGTGGAAAACTCGCCGAGCTCTAATGAAACGTCGGTTGGCGATGGCGCTACCGTATTCTGCCGGAATTCTGTTAGCGTGTTTCGTATTTTTACTAACCAGGAATTACTGAGGCAATATGTTTATTGGCGTTGTTCACCAAATCTTCGACGTTGATATTTTTCATAAAATCTTCAATTACTGCCCGAAGATGGGCTGATTGAACTACGCGTTTTCCAGCGAGGACGCGAGACTCATTAGCAAGATTTTCTTGGGAAGAGTCCAAGTCCATGTCCATGGATTTCTCTTGAGAAGTGTTTTGAACACTAGCGTCTACTTCTGGTACGGGCTCGGAGACAGCATCATGTTCAATGTTGGGCAATACCGCAGGCATCACCTCGTCAGATTTTAGGGCAGTGGGTTCCACAGCCTCCGCGATAGCAACCTCTGAAGGCACCGAACATGTCAGGGTAAGCAGCACGCGACTGACCTCGTCATTCATCGCAGAATCGTCCTGTACTGACGAAGTTGGTATCTGGAATCATTTGTTTCAGAAACTCTGCGATATGTATGTCAGAACATACCATCATGTCAACATCTTCGGATCGTGTTTGGTTGTTCATAATCACATCGGCATCACTAGATTGTGTTCCTTCGGCGGGAGCGAGCACTTTGGCCTTTGATTCATCTCCCATTGGTGTCCCATGCGCGGTTGGAGAGCGAGATAAGGGCCGGCTCTTCGGGAGTGACACCGAGACGGAAGAAGGACCGACAATCGCTGGCGTTGAAATAGTTTGGGTGGCCGAAGCGGGCTGCTGGGCTTCGTGTCTCATCGTTGTATCTTGTAAAGCACGAGATGAGGGCTGGCTCCTTGGGAGTGATACCGACGAAGAAGGAGGGCCAGCAGTCGGTGACATTGGAAAGGTTTGAGTGACGGCTGCCGAAGCAGATTCGTTTGTCATCAGTGTAGCCTGCGCTGTTGGAGGACGAAATGAGGGCCGACTCTCTGGGAGCGATACCAAGACCGAAGGAGGGTCAACAACGGGTGGCTTAGAGATAGTCTGAGTGACCTCGACAGGCGAGGAAGCCGAAACAGAGTTTCCGATTTGAGTACCCTCCGGTGGTTTCGTCACTCTCTTCTCGTTGTATTTCTGAAGGTCGACTTGCATTAGATTCGAGATATCATCGCCTTTCTTTTTTGCCTTGCGTTTAGGTTTGGATGACAGTGCTGCCGGTGGTACAGGCGCAGAGCCAGAGCCAGAGCCTGGTCCGCCAGACGGAGCGGGAGACACCTTGGCGGTCTCCGGAGTAATTGAGAGAGCCTGAGCGTTGGCAACCTGATGGAATGATCAGCAAAATTGGGAGGAGATGTACGCTGGTATTACCGATGGAACGATGGAGTTGCTAGAATCCTGCTTCGTGGGTGCTGAAGCAACAGGTCTCGATGCAGTAGAAGCCGAAGCCGTCATTGACCGTGCCGGTGGAGGTGGAATGTCGGTGACTCGGGTGGTGGGGGATTCGATCGGTGTCAAAGCAGCAGCCAAAGATGAAGAACTAGAGCGCATCTGTTGGCTGGGGTCGATAGAAGTTGATGGAAACCGCGTCGCATGCATAGGAACCCTAGAGTCAACTACACTTTAGACTTGAAGCACGCTTCGAGGAGTTTATTTACGGAGGAGGTGGGGTAGGAGCTTGAGAAGCAGCGGGATGAGGGGCCTGTAGTATCGCAACGGTTCCAAGAAGGTGACGAACGGAGGCTGATACGGTCAACCTCAGCGAGCACTCTAATCTAACGACTTCCACTGACCTTGAAGATTTGGCTCAACAAAATACCTTTGGAAAGGCGCTACGGCATGGACGAGGTCGATGAAGGCGTTGGCCATCTTGGGATACTGATCTCCCAGCATGTGTCCTTGTGTGCGGAGCGTTCCTTCTGCAGTCTGGTGATACCATTATGTTTCATAGGTAAGTTTTGCCTGAAGAAAGTACCAAGAGGATGTCTATGATCTTGATTGTATTCGGTCAGAAAATGTGCTGCAAGAGTCGCAAAATGAGTCTAACCCGAGGACGCGCTTCGAGGTAGTACGCCTTATCGACCCCGAGCCATTTAGCAAATCTCCTTGCGGTCGGAATGTAATGTGGAAGCACGGATAGCTTTTCTTGGAAGCTTTGAAACGTCCTGCCTCACCTCAATCAATTCAGAAACACTGAACGGGAGTCTGAGTCACTTCTCGTTCTGCGCGGTGATATTGACTTTTTCGGCCATGTTCGCTAGGAGTAAGATGGTCCGTTTGAATTGACGCGTCCGTCGCGTCGCGGCCGGTCGCCCAAAAAGTCTTCGAATGCGTAGACGAGATGTAGATATCTCTTATCTTTTGTTGTGCACCTCAGTCACTATAGCTTAGTGGTTGAGCATACGATTGCAAATTGATGTCTTGTATCGTGAGGTCCCGTGTTCGAACCACGGTAGTGACTGCCTTTTTTGTTGATCTACCTTACTTCCACACTCAGTTTTAGTGGAACTACCCAGCCCTTTCCACTTTTGCCGCATTTTGTACCACGTCGATCCCCCTCGTCTTGCATCTGAACTCCACGTAACCCCGCTGATATGTGCTGTCTAGATCTCTTTTATTTCCGTTCTTGTATTAATCGGACAGGTACAGTAATTGCGTCGCTAAATTGTAGGCTAGTCGGCTAAGGGTAAAGGACTACAATGAGTTCATGACACAAGGCACGGTTCTTTGTATTAGCTATGCATTCGGCGCAGGGAGCATTGTTCGCGACCAGTGCGACCAGTCAATCAAAGCACGTCCAAGGATTCGTTTCAACTGCCAGCTGATAAAAGCCACTGCCCCGGACTTGACGTTGGGTCGAGCGACCTTATAACCGCCTTGAGGGACAAGAACCGAGTCAAGGCCCGCTGAGACTCATATTGTCGAGTTATCGTTCCACTTGCGCCTTCACGATCCACGATCGATACACGGACTGCCGCGTTCGTTCCTCCGCCTCATATGTTCGACTTGGTCGTGGTTGGAGAAGGAGGCGGTCCAGATGAGACCAATTTGTCCGCGTATGTCTCGTCTTCGCGCTCGATGCGCTTCCTCCGCCACATAGCATACTCACTGTATTTCTGGGACAGTTATCTGCTCAAACCCTCTGGTGCTGCTTGGGAAGATGGCATAGTCGCCTTGGAGGCAGGTTCGTTTCGAGGATGATCAGTTATTTGAAGAATTGAATGGCGAACCACTTGTAATCAGGTTCTGGTCAGGGAACCGTGCAGAGACTCCTTCAACAAGACCCACATCTTTTCAATACATCCGACCAGCCCTCGGCGCGTACTAAGCCGTATTCTGCCGCAGAGATCTACTCGCTCGTGCGGTTCGTGTGACCATTATTTTATCCGGCGAATATCTTGTTCACATTAACGCAGGTGTTTTCTCATCTCGCACGCCCACCTGGACCACGTCAATAGCTTGGTCTTATCAGCTGGCTCGCTGGGTGGTCCGCGAAAGCGTCTCTGTGGTGCAAAACAAACCTTGGCAGACCTAGAAAGTGTGTTTGCCGACCGCATATGGCCAAACCTGGCTTCCTGGAACGAGGATGACGACGACCACAAACTGCTGTACACCCTGTACGTTGTCCAATTCCCCGTGTCCACGCTGTTGTTTACTTCCCCGGCCAGACTTGGCATGAACGACGCGTACGAACCCTTAATTCCCAACGTCTCTGTCCGCAGTTTCCCTATAAGCCACGGCCACAACGTAGGAGGTAATTACGACTCTACAGCATTTTTTATTCGCTACGACCCCACTGGCCTCGAGTTCCTTTTCTTTGGGGACCTCGAGCCAGACACGCTCTCCCATACCCCGCAAACGATCAACGTATGGCGCGCCGCCGCGCCCCAAATCCCCGCATCACTGTCCACCATATTTATCGAATGCTCGTGGCCGTCCTCTAGAAGCGACGATATGCTATACGGTCACCTAAAGCCCGAACACTTGGTTCACGAGCTGGAGGTCCTCGCGTCCGAGGTCGTCAAGGTTCGGAATGCCGCCCAAGCCTCTGGCGCATCCCCGCGGCCCGTTAGGAAAAAGCAGCGGATGAACCCCTCAATCGCGTCACCGCCAGACGACCTGCGGGGCGCCTTGAACGGTGTGCGCGTGTTTGTAATCCACTGCAAAGACACGCTAGACGGAGCCCCCGACCGACCAAATCAGACTCTCATCATTCAGCAGATAAAAGCGCTGCTGGAAGTAAAAGAGCTTGGAGTAGAGATTTTGGCAGCGCGCCAAGGGATGCATATTCGTGAGTGGTCAGAATCATCTTCGGCGTTTACACTCAACTTCGCCGTGCCAGGAATATGATCCCTTGGACGATACCTTATTTATCCCTCTTGCACCTACCTTTTTTCCGAGTTTACCCCCGCTGTATAACTAGTCCTCCCGCTGTAGCTGTAGTGATTCCCACTCATCCATCTTCATAACTGCTGTTTCTCTACATACATCAACGCCGCTACCCGAAAGGATGCATTCTCATAAGTAATTGCGTTCGTTCATAACAGTCGTTAAAAACATATGTATGTACAAGAAAGCAGCGGAGCGAATAGAAAGAGAATTCCAGTATGAACATTCTATTAAGCAAAGCTATGGTGCAGCAACAATAATCCCACCGCTAACAGCGAAGCACGTCACATAGCATCGGAGAAGGGCAAGGTGGGCTAAGACGACGCATAGAGCTTTACAACACCATCGGACCCGGCGCTGGCCATAAAAGGCAGTGACGGATGGAACTCGACGTCCAGCACGCCCTCGCGCGCCTTTTCTCGGTGGGTCGTACTCTCCTGCACACACGCACGCGAGCCGAGGAGGTCCCAGAACCGCACGGAGCAGTCGTGGCTGCCGGAAACGAGCGAGAAGCCCGCCGCGTCGATCGACAGAGACGTTACGCCATCAAGATGAGCCAACATCGAATGTGTGCATTGCCCTGCAGAGATCGTCGAATTGAGATGGTATTGATAGATAGATAGTCAGGGAAAACGAACCTGTCACAATGTCGAATATCCGGATGTACTTGTCTTCGTGGGCAGTGACGAGGAGAGACATGGTGGGATGCGAGACTATCCGGTTTATCTGGGTGGCCGGCGTGCCATCTGACCAAGTTCAAGTTAGAGTTTCGATATAGACAGCGCACGCACCATAACTGATGTCAGTCGGTAATCTCGACAGCTCCTTCCCGTTCTCAATATCGAAAATCTTCACGACCGCATTCTGGTACGCGACCGCCACTTTTTTGAGATCGACCTTGAGGGCCTCGACCGCCGTGGCGCCGGGTGCATCTGCGTCCTCCTGCTGCGGCTCGTCTGCACTTTCCAGCCCCACCCACCCCCACGTGAGCTTGAGCGACCCGCCGCCCGACGGCCCGCTGACGTCCCACACCTTCACCGTGCCCTCCGCACCGCAGCTGATGAGCGTGCTCTCGTCTCGTACGAGCGCGAGGTCCCAGACAGCGTCGGTATGCCCGATGAGTTCGCCGCGCGCACGAGTCTCGTCGTACGGCGCGTATGTTGTATGAGAGATGGAAGGGAGCGCCCAGACCCGGATCGACGAGTCGAGGGACGCAGAGTACAAGAGCTGCTTCGACGGCGCATGTATCAGTCGCGTAATGGCGGCCGAGTGCCCGCGGAGAGTCAATTGCGGTTCAATTTCGGTGGTCGGCCGCGAACTAATGTTATTGAACACAGGTCGTTAGCACGGCGTGGACCGGGAGAGTTAGGCACATACGCAGAAGAGGCAAGACCGGCGACATCCATTCGCCATATTTTTACCGTACAATCGTCTCCGCCTGTCGCAAGCGCAAGCTCGTGAGGGTGGAACGCGAGTGCCCGAACAGCATCCAAGTGACTGATCGATGCGTGAGTCCTTAGTGTCAGAATAGGAATATGGAATGGAACGCACTTTCTCAGAGTCCGTTTTGGCCGCCAAACCTTATAACCCTCAACATCGCTGACCACGGACGACTCTTCATCATCGACCTCGCCGTCCTCGTCCTTTCCTTCATCCTCTTGTCTGTCCCATCCCGGGTGCTCTCGTCCAAGACGCGCCTGCTCCACATCATGGTTTTCTCGGGCTAGACGCGCTTGTTCCGCCTCATGTGACAGTCGCAGCTTCTCCTTCCACTCGCCCGCGTCATCTGGTCGGAAAATCGCGGTCAGCTGGCGTGGCTCCTCGTCTCTCTCTCCTGCAGCATTCGACGACGATTGCGGTGACTGGGACGGCACCACATTTTGTTGTTGCATCAGGGCTGGGTTTGGGGACGAGGACTGCTGGGGCTGCTGCTGCTGCTGCTGCATGTGTTGGAGTTGCAACATTCCCGAGCCGAGGGGATTGTTTCGCTCGAGATTAGCGGTCGCGGCGGGAGCGGAGGAGGGACCCGACATTAGGTTATTGATGTTACCGTTCAGCATGGCAAAGTCTTTGCCCGACTCTGGCAGCAGCTTCCGCGGTCTGCCATTGAAGGCCATTTGCTCAAACGACGGCGCATTTGGAAGGGTGAGAGAGATGTTACCGTTGTTGAGTAAAGGTCGGTTAGGCAATGGGTTCATTGCTTGAGGGGATGTGAGATAAGATATTTCTTGAAGGCATCTTGAACGGTTCCGTGAGCTCCAGGCGTCCTACACGTGCAGAGAGCAAGAGATACATACTGTTTGAGGTAGTCACGACTCCGTGCTCTGCTCTTTGGGTCCCGACCCGGCGGAGGTTTCCCTAAGCCCGCGGCGGCTGCAGCAGAGGGCCCATTTGGCCAATTTGCACCGGCCCACGAGTTTGGTCTTCCTGACGGACCGACGGATGCTACGCCATTGACGCGGCCGTCGGGAAGCGGGGAATCTGGAGAAAGAGATTACTAAGAGAGCAAATGGGGACGGGACGGGATAGGCACCCTCGCTCCGTGGAGAGCTGCCGCTGCTTTCTTCCTTGTGACTTTGCACGTCGTCCTTTTGGGACGTGGAAGACGTGAGGGCCTGTATCGCGGCAAGTTTTGCAGGGGGGACCGACGAGGAAGCCGGTGGTGGTTGGGCGAGTTGTTTTGAGCTGGAGCCGACACGTCAAGAAATACATTGGAGGACCGAGGAAGAAAGACGCGAACCGCTCCATGCGTAGCGCATATTCCAGCATTTTTATGCGGCGCATAAGGTCGAGTTTAACATTCTCGAACGAGCGCCGCTCGCCCTCGAGCAGAGCAATACGAGCCTAGTTGAGTGAATTGAGACGCGCGACGCAACGAAGCAAGACAACCGACCCTCATCTCTGCGCGCTCGATCTCCCACTCATTCCTGTCGCGCTCATATTTGCGCCATTCGGTCTGGAGGTAGTGGAGAACACTGGAGAGATTCCAGTCCTGGCCACTCTGAAACGGAGGCGGAGGGATTTGGTTCTGCTGGTTCTGCTGTTGCTGTTGCTGCTGTTGCTGCTGGTTCT